CTCGACGTGATGGAGGCTCGTGAGCCAGGGCAAGCGACGCCGTTTGTGCGCGAGGAGGCGCCGACGGCACCCGGCAACGGGATTCCGGGGGACGGAGGCAGCATTCCCCCGTCGCCCCCTTCGGGAAGGAGCGACTTCGGCGGAGGCAGTGACAGCCCCACCGACAGCTGCTGCTGCTGCTGGTTGGGGGGGGAGAGAGAGACGGAGGCAGCATTCCCCCGTCGCCCCCTTCGGGAAGGGACGACTTCGGCGGAGGCAGTGACAGCCCCACCGACAACAGCAGCAGCAGCAGCAGCAGCAGCAGCCCGAGCAGCAGCAGCAGTGACACCGGCGGTGCCGGCGGCCCGGGCGGCGAAGAGTCCGGCGACCCAGGTGGGGACGGCGGTAGCGATGGTGATCCCGGCGACTCCGAGAACCTCGAGGAGTTAAAGTATGATCCAGCCGACGACCGCTGCCCCCGCGGGCTAGAAGGGAAGAAACTCCTCTGGGGCGCTTCGAACGTTGGCCCGCTGCGCCATGGGCTTGAGAGTGGCCGCACGCCGGAGCAGACCCGGGAGATGCAAGGTGCCGGGGAGATCCCGGGGCCCGGAGAAACCCCGGACCCGGCAGCGGGAAAAAAGACACGACGACAATCGGTGTTTGTTTTCCAGCTCATGTCTGAAATTTGTGCACATCAGTTGTAGCGGTGACAGTCCCTCTCTCTACTATGGTCAACTCATAAGTAGGCGACACGCCAAGTTGCTTTTGAGCACATCAGCAAACAGCAGCAAAAAGAGCAACAAACGTGTACTTGCGATGACACGATGACTTCTGGATCTTTGGAGTGCACAATACGATGCGATTGTCATAGCGGGAGATGTACAATCTCCCACACTACGGACAGTTTTGCTAAACCGCCCATGAGTGACCCATGGGTGACCCATGGGCTCTTCATGGGCGGCCCACGAAGTGCACACCGTGGGCACTTCAACCTAGAACTTCGCCACCGGCATATCAACCTAGATCTTAGCCACCTTCACATCAACCTAGAACATAGCCACCAGCGCCAACCTCGCATGCATCGTGTGGGCTTGGGTTTAGGGTTAGGGTTAGCGTTAGAGTTATTAGCCGATATTGTGCCCGTTCCAAAGCAGTTGTTTAGGAGTAAACTGGTTCGGTTCAAGGGGTCTCATTGGCCGCCCATGGGCTTCCCATGGGGTTGCCCATGGGCCGCCCATGGGCATGCCCATGGGAAGCCCATGGGTCACCCATGAGTCACCCATGGGTCACCTATGGGGAACCCATGGGGCCCCCTTGGGTCACTCATGGGTGACCTGTCCGGTGTTTCTTTTGTTCCGTTCCTCGCGTAGCAGTGGACTACCGTATATGACACAAGATAGCACACCCCCTGGACTGATTTTCAAAGCTCGACTTCTCCACGACAAAGAGGATGAACTAACGAAACGATACATTTTCGGAAAGCTCTCGACAAGATGGTTTCAACGCCGCCGTTTTCGGCGCTATGACTGTTCCTGCAGTTGAGAAATCGAGCTTCGAAAATCGGTCAAGGGGGTGTGTCATCTTGTGTCATATACGGTAGCCTACAACATAAACACTCAATAAATAATCGCTTCCCGCAGTTCAAGATAAAAAGGAAAAACACTCTCTTCGTAGTACAGCTGTAGTGATGTGATCTATCTGACGATGACATTTCTACAAGCTGTATAGTAGGTAAATTACTTGCCGTGGATCCGGAAAAATGCGAGAAAAGAACCAATTAACCCTTATGTGACTAGACTACACCCACAAATGAGCTCCGTTCCCAGCTCCGATGACTCTTTGATGCGACATTTTTCGAACCGAATTGAGCCCGAATTGAGCTGTGGATACCTGCGTCGACGAGGGCTGGACTGGACGTGTAGACCGTCGAAAAGGAACTAAATAACGACGGGGACAGCAGTAGAGTCCCCTACACATAAAACAAAGCTTGGGAGTTGCAACGTTGTCGAGCACCCGACCCGCGCTGTGCAAAAGGGACCGCAATCCAGCACGCGGAAACGCGATAATGAGGCCGTTTGTTCTCGTGCTTCTAGTGATTTTTCGCACGAGCTCTATGTACACTCCTGCTGTGGATTCGGACTTGGACCACCAAATTTTGTTGCGAGTTGACGAGACAGGAGCTAGCTCCCCCACCGAGTGCTTTGGGCCGGAGGGTACAGGAGCACATCGGTGGGCCTCAGACGCTCAGCTTGAAGTGCAGCACAACATTGACACAAGGTGGGAGGGTTATCACTCCCTTGGCTGGAGTCACGTACACTTAAACCTACCTACATAGCATCCATTTGTAGCCCACAAGAGGATGATCAGCAAAATAAGAACGCCAGCCTCGGCCGGAACTAGAGGCCATCTGTAGTAGTGATCTCCGGGCCCGAACCCCTGGCCATGCGCTGTGCTACCTCGAACAAGTGGATGGGGCTTCTGTAAGAGAGAATGCTATGTTGCTTTGTGCATCGGCGAGGGGTCCGGCCGGCCCCGGATATCACTGGCCGCCGTGGCTGGGAGGCCAAGGAGCCCGAGCTACTCAGTAGTCTATACTCAGCATTCTAAACTCAGCATTGTTTTGTTCTACAACAGCAGTACGCCTACAACTGCACCAGCAGTGCAGCGGCTGTGGCACGCTGCGGGTGGCGTGTGTGGCTGAGGTTTGGGTAGAGAAACACAGAGTGATTTATTATCTTCACACAGACGCCAAAGCTGTCTTCACCTGACGGCTTCAGACTTGGCAACGCCTTCACAATACTGCATCAAACCCAATGCAGTAGTACTACAAACACTTCCAACATGTCCTCTCAAGAACTACGTCATTCTACAGTTCCGATGCATAAGACCTCTCGAAACGACATACATTCGTTTCCTCTCGAAACAACGCTGTCTAAAGAACTTCTACCTCGTTATCCGTATCTTGTTTCATTCAGCTGCCATCCAACAGCGATCGATGCGTTTTCTTCCTATTCCTGAATTTATTTCAACACATGTACACACACACACCGTCCAACCCTCAAGATATAAAGTCCGATTTTGCAGAAGGGAGGTGTTGACACTCCTAGGAGCAAGAGGCGGTTCCTCAGAAACTTCACCGCACCCAAACTCTTTGTAAGAATGTCAGCTTTCTGCGCGTCAGACTCAATGTACTCCACTGCGACAACCTTGTCTTCGATAAGCGACCTTACATGATGATACTTGATGCCTATGTGCTTCGTACGCGGCGTGAGCTTGTTGTTTACACTAGTCGAGATCGCGGCAGTGTTGTCCTCGAACATCCTCGTCGCCTCCTCTTGCGTCTGGTTGATGCTCAGAAGATGACGGTAGTGGATGATCATCGTGCATGCCTTGGACATCGCGACATATTCTGCTTCCACCGAGGAGAGGGCCACCACCATTTGCTTAACTGACCTCCAGTCCACCGGTCCACCTGCCAGAAACAGAACAACGCCTGTAGTCGAGCGACGGTCATCTCCATCGCCTGCGAAGTCGGAATCAACGTATGCTGTCAGCAGGTTTCCTTGCTCAGCGTGTTCCGTGTACGCTATCCCAATGGAGCTTGTTTCCTTCAGGTACCGGAGCAGTCGCTTCAGTTTGGCCATCACCTTCGGGCCTGGTTTGGCCATGCTCCTGGTAAGCACCAACACCGTGTGGGCGATCTCCGGCCTCGATCCCCTGCACAGGTAGAGGGCCGAACCCGTGGCTGACCTGAACATCGTGGTGTCCTCTGGCGACAGTGCTTCTCCCTCCACGACACTTATCGTCCCAACCTCAGCCGGAGTCTTCGTCGGGTGTGCATCTACCGTGCCAAACTTAGCAAGGACGGCCTTGGTATACACCTCCTGTGTTAAGAGAATCGTTCCTGCCTCAACGCTTCGCTCAATGGCCATTCCTAGGAGAAATCTCGCATCCCCTAGGTTCACCGTATCGGATCGGTCCTTCAGCTGCTCTATTACCGTCGATACCTGATCCCCGTCGGTTCCGGTGAACAGGATGTCGTCTACATTTCCCCCCCGTTCAGGACGTATAGGCAGGGGTCCGCCGTGCTTTGGATGAATCCGATTTCCAGCAAGTACTCGTGAAACTTGCCATTCCATCCCTTCGGGAATAGGCGTAGACCGTATAGCCACGCCTTCAGTAGCCCGACTTGCCTAGTGTGTTCCGACGAACACTGGAAACCCTTCGGACGTATCATGTAGATGGGTTCCACTTCTTCGGGGATTCTGGCATGGAGGAATGCCGTCTTGATGTCAGCTTGCTTGAGAACGAGACCTTGATGTGCAGCCATAGCAATCACGAGATGAACAGGCTCCATAGACGCCACTGGTGCTGCCTTGTCCGCTCCCGTGTCAGCTTCATGAAAACCTTGCACCGCTACGCGGCTTTTCCGGCGAATCGGTACACCATCCTGGTTGTATTTCCATTTGTGTATGAATTTCGACGGAATCAGTGGAACACCCTCCGGCGGATCAACCCAGTCAAATACGTCATGCTCATATCGCGACTGTCCCTCGTCGCTCATGCTCGCTTTTCAGAGTTCTGAATCCGGTCCGCTTACCGCTTTGTCGTAGTTCGCAGGGTCGGAATGCATGTAGCCCACCTCACCAGGGCTGCCCGTCCCCATGTTTCCGAGCTCGCCGCCAGTCAGCAAAGCATGTTCGATCCTCTCGTACGCTTCCTCCGTCGTATGCAGCGCCTCCTCCGTCGAATGCAGGTTCGGCACCTGCCTCGGCACTGGGGTCCTGCTGCTCCGCCGTAATTCTGGTTGTTGCGGTCCTGCTGCTTCTGCATCCACGTCTTTTTCTTCATCTTTTGTTTCGACAGAGCCACGCTGGTAAATTGTTTGACTCAGGTCAGGAAGCGGGTCGTGTCCCATCTCGGGTTTGGCCACGTCGCGCGTCTCTTTCTTGCGAAATGAGACCTCTGCTGAGTTGGTGATTTTGCGTGGATCGGCAGGGTCCCTCAGCCGTTACGTCTTGTTGTGAGTGTTATATCCCACCAGGTGCACCTTCTTCGCCCTGGCGGCCAGTTTGTTCGGCCTGAATCTTGCCTCGACGTGTTTGAAGGCTACCGATCCCCACTCATGGATGTGTGACAAACTGCCGAGTTGCTTTTCTTGAACATACCTCTAACGGTGCCTTGCCGTCCAAGACATCCGTTGGCGTGCGGCTGTTGATGTATACCGCAGTTTTGACGGCCTCAGCCCACAGCCGGGCCGAAAGGTGAGGCGCCCCCAGGAGAAGGTTGCGAGCAGTAACGATGATTGTGCCGAATACACGCTCAGCTATGGCGTTTCCTTGAGGGATGTGAGGGGTATTCGGTTGAATAATGATCCCAAGTGACTCGCACAGTGACTGGAACCTCCCCTTGAACTCAGCTCCCCCATCACATCGTATTTAACCGATGCAGAGACCTGTTCGTATATGTCCTTTACTTGGAAGGGGAAGACGTTTTATCTCTTGTATTAAACACGCAATGTAGTAGGAGAAGTGAAGCCCTCTTTGGAGATCGAGGGGTCCCCGCACATGCAACCATTTCAAGGTGTACATATGCCCCATCTGCGTGCCCTCTGTTGTTGCCGGTAGATCCAGCCAGTCCGTATCCAAACACACGAACACCCTCTCCGGTTTGTACGCGAATGGCAAACCTAACGTGGGGCATAGATACCCCTGATCTACCAAAGGGACTCAAAACAGCAACAGGCTCGAGGGAAAACCCGGCCAACCGGATAAAACACCCTCGTCTAGCACCCTAAATATCGAAAACCGTCCCTATCACGGAGGATTCCAACGACCGCACTTCCAAGACAAGACCAAGGCAGGACAGATTGAACCGGTCACGCTGAATACACACCCGAAGCAGCGCTCTCGGCGTTTCTAGGCTCCAGCCGCGGGTGACGCGTCGGCACAACGCTTCCTGCATGACGTACCATGGTCATATATGCCAAGTGCTAGAAACACGACATAAACCAAACAGAACAAGAGAACACTACATCGGTAGGTTCATCAGAGCCTTCCGGTGGTACTCTAACTTCCCTCTGCCA